CCCCAAAACCCCAAAACCCCAAAACCCCATTAGATTAAATTTCGAATTTATAGTAGATAGGGAGCTATTTAAATATCTTAATTATTAGTATAAATGTCTAAAAGTACATATATTTCTGCAATTATAACTTTTAGGAAAGTAAGTTAGTACAACTAATTCTAAGAGTGTAATTTCAACTGAGACAGACTCTAAAGAAATGAATAAAAAGGTATCTTAAGCTCATGAGTAAAACTAAACATCCACCTAGGATATCCACATTTTACAATGGCTCATGGACCATCTGATGTTTGAGATTGGACCTGGTCCTAAAGTCATGAAGCTCAGTTATCTCGTCAATTTTTAAAAGGCTGGAATGTGTTTCTATGTTCTTTCCTTAATGTTCTGTTTCAATAATTTCTCTGAAGCAATGTGGTCTTATCTTTTATTGCATGGATCATATGGTAATTTTCATTCTAGATATATATCGACTTATTAACCTTTTGTAATAGGCGCCTTTTGGATTCTTAAGGATTTAATATTCCCAGACCCAGTTTTCCAGAAAAAAGCAACAGTCTTCGGACTTTTTACTTCGTTTGCTCTTGTGCTAGGGCATTACTTTGTCCCGGCTTATATGCTAGCTTCAGGAAGAGCTGGTATTTTATTATGATTTCTTATTTTAATATAGACAACAACCTTACATTTGAAAGAATCTGGGTAAGCTATTTAATTTATGTGATTGGAATTATCCTAATGCTCTTGTCTGACAGTTAGAAGTATCATACCTTGAGGTTTAAGAAGGGTTTGATCTCTGATGGCATGTTTAAATATACTAGAAATCCTAATTATTTTGATGAAATTCTAGTCTATGGATCTTTTATCAATCTTGTTAATGAAAAAATCAGCTACATTTGTGTAATGCAAGTATGGTTCCTAATTTTCTCATTGAGAATGTATTTGAAGGATCTCTCTCTAAGAAGGAAAGAAGGCTGGGAAGAATACTCTTAAAGGTCCTGGCTACTAGTTCCTAAGATTAACGGAAGGGTATTTGACAGTTTAATCTTTTACTCCGCTCTTCTTTTCTCTATTTATTACTGCTACTTCAACGGGGGCTTTGTTAAAACTGCTATTGATTTAAGAAGAATATTGATCAAACACTGATGATAACGCATGAAAAAATTATCACTTTAACGAAATTAACATTTTAATATCATTATATACAGATTTTACTCTCCCATGGGGTTTTGGGGTTTTGGGGTTTTGGGG